AAATAAATAGTGCCCTGTACGATTAAATAAAACAAACCAAACGATAAATAGCATGTAACACCACAAGCAGGATTAAAACACTACACATTTATATCTTGTATGTTAATAAACTGACTCATGGGCAAGTAGCTCTCTTTAGCTGTAAGATAAAATACCTAAAACCTCTTATTGTATCTAAATACTTACTACGGTGACCTTTAACATGTGGAGAAACACTGTTGGCCACTTTTAAGTGACACTTGGTGGATATGTAATATGCTTCAGTTTGTAATGTTGCTGATATCTGTGGCACTGAGTGCATTGTGCATCAGGGAGCGGACTGAAATGAACTGCAAGTGTTTTGAAAGATGGTGTCTTCTTGTCTGTCCTCTGGTGTCTCTGCAGTGGTTCTGTGAGGGTGCAGCTCTGGACACTGAGGATCCTCTGGAGAAGCAGAAAGTCTATAAGTTTAGAGCTGACCTGGCTGTGAGACAGGGGGACTATCAGGTAATGAAATGAGTTAGTCCTCTCTCATTTCTGATCCTCATTAAGGGCCATTGTGATGTTCCTGTACTTATAAACTACCAGTGAAGAAATGAATGCGCTCAGTTCAGTGTCATGAGTCAGTATTTAAATGTTTCTGTAAATCTACAGTTGAGATACAAACATACAGGACCTGAAGCCAACAGGCCTATTCCTGTAATAGAACACATTAACATCTTCCACCCAACTAAAGACATGTAATAGCAGAAAATGAATGTATTTATAATCATAATCAGTGTGTTTTAAAGCAACGTTGTGTAACGTGAAAAAAGGCTTCCATGTTATGTAATTATACACACACTTGACTCAATATACATATAAATAAGTCAGTTGTTTTTCACTACTCTTAGAGTAATAGTTCTAAAAGAAGCTGCTTGAGGCTCGTAACCTTTTTTCCTGCTATCGTTCACCACTCTGCATTGCCCACTGTGTGTGTCTCTCTTCTCGTGGTGCGGTGGGTATAGAAAGCTTTGGATGCGTACAGCAGCTGCCTGGAGTGGATCGCTGACAACAACCTGACAATCAGAAGAGATGTACTGGAGGGAATGGCCCGCTGCTGCACCAAACTGGGACAGCGAGTCAGGGCGCTGGACTTGGCTGACTTGCTGGTAATTCTTCTATGAGCTTTTCCTGAAAGATTGTCCACGCAGAACAGTGTCCCATACAAGTGACAGACAGTAACAGAACAACGTGCTGTCATTGTGAAATCCTTTATATATATATCACACAGTGTTGAAGATGTGTCATGAAAGTCATGAAATTGATATGTGTGTCACCATTTTTTTTTTTTTTTTTAAATCCTACAAAATGTACTCAACTCCTGACCATTTCTCAGAGTACAGTGTAGTTTTATTCCTACCTTCCAGGCAGTCGTTGGTTGTGCTGTGAAATTCAACTTGCCAAATCTTAAAGCCTCCTTCTGGCAGCCTTTATTTTTGTCATTTGCTTCAGCTTTATGAGCTAATAAAGATGAACATGTCGGTGCTTTAGTGTGCCCTAGAAAGCTTGAGTAGTAAAATATAAGGAATATTTTTAATACACAAAGAATCACATTTGCTTAGTGTTGGTTTTGTGCTTAAAATTGATTTAAATTGTCCACCAGCGTGGATGTTAGAGTCCCATTAGCACATGAACGCACCACCACTGAAGACATAAATAGAAGTTAATGAAATGTCTGGTAGATGACCTATGTGAAGTTGCATTAGTTTACTGAAAGGACAGTAAGAAATCAGTGTAAAAGCTTATGTTAGAAAATGGCCAGCACTGTGTAGTAATGTGCATTCAATCTTTCTCCAGAGCAAAGACGCCTCCAACACGTGTCACCTGACCAGCCTCCTCCTGCTCAAGGTCAGCATCACCCACACACAGAGTGTTGGTTCCAAATCATTCTATGGAAATGTAATAAAAATTATTATTTAATTGATCTTTAAACTTTTACTAAAGGTCAGCATCTACCAGCATTTTGGAGGCGTAGGATCCAAGATGTCCTCTCTGCAGCAGCTGTGTAGCCTGCTGCCCTTCAACCCCTGGCACTGGTACAACCTCGGGCAGACGTGTCTGCAGCTGCTGGAGAGTGACAGAACCACGGGTAGGCTGGCCTTCATTCATTTAAAATGTCAAGATGAAAGGTGGAAAGGAGCTGCTTTAACGCGAAAGACGAACTTCGAATGAAAAAAAAAAACGTTTTCAAAGTCACTGTCAGAACTGTATCTGTTATTAAAGGAGGCATATTGGTACTCTGTATCGGCAAGTACCTAAATGTAAGTACTTTACTTAAAGTGGTACGCTGCATTCCTGATGATGAATGTAAACTCTAGCTCTTTTTAAGTTTTATTTTTAGCCAGCCTTGTGGTCTGATGTGATCTGCTATATTCACCTTCACTAGGACCGTGTTCCCCACAGAGGTGTGAATCAGCAGAGCAGCAGCATGATGAAGTGACTGAGGAGCAGCAGGAGGAGGCAGCAGAGCTTGATGAGGACAGAATCTGGCTGAAAGCTTGCTCCTGTTTCATCAGGACGAGGTACGGCGCAGTGATGATTGTAATCTCTAATGATATTTCTTACTAATGATGTAAAACGTGAACTCAGTGTAAGGGTAACTTGTGATGCCACAGTTGAATGTGTGCTATTTGTGTATTTACGAGGAGCTTAAATCATAGTGTCTTCTGTCTCCGTCAGACTCCTGTTGAGAATCCTTCGGCAGCAGCAGTCCTCCTTTGTGCTGCAGCGCAGTGAAAAAACCCTACAGACTTTAGATGAGGTGTTGCAGCGGCTAAATCCCAAAGAAACAACCCTGCAGGCTCTCACTGAGGTGAGGACTCATTCCTGATTTTACATGAAGTGTTAAGGCATGAAGTTCAGCCAGTTTAGTGTTAGCTAAGGTTTGGGGCTGAGTTAAAGTCAGCACATAGTTGTTACACCGTGAGACGCTTTCAGTTTCTTTCTCCTCCATCACCCAGGTGGTGTCAGAGGACCTGATCCCGGAGAAGATGAGAGAGGACTATCAGGACGGGGAGAGTTTGGCTAGTGTGTGTCTGCAGAACTTCAGGGAGCGCTGGTGGAACAAGATCTTACTGACCGGCGTGCTAGAGACTGATGGCCCCCAGCGTCAGACAGACACAAATTCTTGATGCTCCAGTGATTCCTGGCTGTTTGCAGGAAGAAAGGACTGAAGATGGTTCTGTCACTGTGTTGATCCCATCATAGAGCAAAAGAAACGGACCGAATGAACCGAGTCAGGCCCAACTTCTAAGACAGAAGTGGAGACATTAGGTCTGCTGAGCCTCACAACACAAGTCCCCATACATGTGGAAGTACACGAGTCACAAAAGCAAGTTAAATATTGACTTTAAACGCTGACAAAAAAAAAAATCACAATATTCAAAAGTATAAATCACACCTACAGAATGTTTCATGTTCGCCTCTGAACTGCACAGTGAATGTAGTCGGTAATAACTTACTATATCCAACAAACCAGACAGACACAGATAATGTTTCATCCACTTTATACACTGTGTTATATAATATATGACAGTGATTCTGTTCTGCATTGAGACTTTTTAAATGTTCTGCCTAAAATGTAACGTATGCCTTAACATTAAAACAATTTTATTTTGTGAAATATTCAACTTTTAGTTGCTGAAGTGGCTGAAGACATTTATTATTGTTAGCTCCGTAGGTGTGCCTGTTCCAGTGCCTTGCTATTGTGCATGCTAGCATAGATCACTTACATTTAACAGAGCCGTTCACATTATTACCACCTGTGCTTCTGTCAAATCAAAATGTCTGCTGTGGGAAAAGGCCCATTAGTAGCTGTTGGCACTTCCAACATTAGCTCTCAGTCGTTGGACAGTTTTAAATTTCTTAAATTTAAATGTAAACTATCAATCGTTTAAAGAGAGACTGTTCTCTTTACATGAATAATAAAAGGCTTTAGACATGGTACACCTGCACAGCCTGATTAGACCTCTGCAGTAGTGTAGGTGTGTACAGACAGCTCTGTTATATCTGTGGTGGCGGCACAATTAACACCTTGGTGATGTCACGCAGCTCCCAGTGTATCTCACCCAGCAGCAACTTGAACTCAAAGCACCTTGACAAAGGAAAACCACAAAATTACCTGAATATTCAACTAAAATACATTTGAGAAAACTCTACAGTGTTTGCTTAATTAAATTTATATTTTTTAAGAAAATAAATATTTTTTTTATGCTACACACATGAAAATCATCTAAAAATAGTTCACACTTCTGTCTTAACTCATAATTTTGTAGAAATAAAGTAGTAGTTTAATTATTTCATAAGTGTTGCACAGTAGAATACACAGAACATTTCATATGAACAGATGAGTACACTGTTTCATTGACCTGTGATTATATCTCCTGTGTGTGAGGGTGAATAAATGTGTCTAAGCATGTTCCGTTCCTCTGCAGTCTGTATATTTCTCTCAGGTCAGGTCTTGGTTATGTTTGGGTGAAGAGCTGCTCCTTTGAAGCCTGCAGAGTGTCTGTCAGTCATGCTCTTACTCCTTCCCAACGACGTATTCATGGTGCTGTAAAACGGCCTCCAGCCCGTCTGATGTCCCGTCCCGTAGGTGGCGTTAAAGGAGCTGTAGCGAGCCACAGGTCTGGGTCTTGCAGTGTGACCCTGGGGTGTCCAGTTCATTGTTGGAGGGGGCTTCGCCTGCTGGGAGGTGTGGGGCTGTACGTGAAGTTTAGCTCCTGCAGTCGGTGCTGACTTTAAACCTGGGGCCTCTGTGGTTGGGTGTGACTGTTGGTGCCTCTGGGGCTGAGCTTGCCTCATGGGTCCCATAGAGGACACTTTTGTTAGTAGTCCAGATGTGTGTCCTCCTGGATGTGTTAAAGGGAACAACAGGCCTGTATTTGCTTGTTTTGGCTGTGATGTGGAAGGAGAACGGCCATTGGGATAATCTGGAAAGTCCATCTTTGGTTTAAAGTTCAGGGAGCAGTGCCATTGTCGTCTTTGTATGTTTAGACCTGCAGCAGCCCCCAAAGGCTTTGTCAGTCTGTCTCTATTCTTCTGCTGAAACACAGGCCCTTCAGGACCCACATCATGGTGCTCCATGTTTAAATTTGTCTTGAAAGGTGACTGGTAACGGACAATCCTGTGCTGTCCGTGTGCGGGGGAAGCAGCGTGTACAGGGTTTGACTCTTGAACCCTCACATTATTTTTAGCTGTAGTGGTGACGGTGAGGCTGGTGAGCTGAGACTGAACGTGTGAGACATGGGTCTGACTGAGAGCGTTTGAGTGGCTCTGGATCCGGTTTTGATTCTTCTCCGGAGGTTCCACATTTGTTTGTGCATCATGCTGGGTGCAGACAGCTCCCACTGTATGCTTTGGCTTCCCCACACACACGCTCTGCAGTGCTCCTGGTTGAACCAGAGGTTTTGGGTGCATTTGTGTACCAGTGCCTGCTCTGTGTAGTTCTGGGCTTCGTGGATTCGATAAAACACGCTTTTCTGCTTTTGTCTGGGTGTTTTGAGCATCTTCATTCCAAGACCCGTGGAAAGCTGTTTTGGTCCGGCTTGATTTGGACTTAATGACGTCAACTTTATCTTTTTGAGCTGCATGGGACGTGGTGTAAAGACGGAGAGTGTGAGGCACAGTGATATAAGTGACAAAGCCAGGCACTGGTTTGGAGCCAGAGTACAGCCTGTGGAATTCCTGATGGAAAGGTATGACCGCGCTGCCCTTTAAAAGAACAGCGAGACTGCGATGAACCTGCCAGGACAGCCAGGAGAAACTGTGGAGACAACACAAACAACAGCATTAATGATAGAACTGAAAACTAAACGGAGAACAGA